GAAACGTCATTGGCATTCGATTTATACTCCTAGGTGCAATGAAATTTATTTGGCTAAGTAATGCATCACTATGTACTGAACCATCAATATTTTTTTGTAAAAATGTAAGACAAGCCAAATTTCTTCTACTCAAAAGTGATGTTTCTTTAACTGTGTTCAAAACAATTTTTTGGTCACAGTGTTGTGCAGGGTATCTGCCAAACATTTTGAAAAACACGTATTTACAAAATTTTCTCAGTACCTTTTCAATAAGAAAGATAAATATTATGCGTTGGGTTCCATACTACACTACAGTATTCTAGCTTTGCTCTGACTAAGGTGTAAAACAATAACGTTATACAATGTACATTGTGTAAATCTGTTGCATTACGAATTATAAATCCTAGCATCTTCATTGCACTGTTTGTAACATATTCGATATGCGGTATAAACGACAGTTTGTTATCTACTACAATCCCCAGGTCTTTAAACTGATCACAACGATCTAAAAGCGTACCATTCATGTTGTACATAAAATTAATGGGTTGCAATTTCCTAGTTATTGCTTAACTTTACACTAAGGCAATTAATTTGACAATAATTTAAGAATGAATCAATACTATCTTGTAATTGAAGACAGTCAGAATACGAGGTTATAACATTTACAATCTTCAGATCATCCGCATATATGTAAATTTTACAATCAATATGGTTAGATCATGATACAAGTAAATATGGTATGGACATCCCATGAACCAAAACTCGTCTTCTTCTGCGCAACGTTATCTGACGTCATGTGGAATGAATGACCTTCCACTTCTGTGTTGACATCTGATGTCAAATATCAATTTTAAGGGTTATGAGGCAGTTATGAGTTTTTGTGGTTATGAGGGTTATTGTTTATTGTTACCAAACTGATGCGTAAAAACAAATTGGTGGTTTGCTAGCGACCTAGCGTTGTTAAAAAAATAGCGGGGATGATAGCAAATAATAAGAAAATATCTGTGTCCTTGTTATGCTCCGTCTTTTCGACAGCAGGTATTTTTTGCTTCCAGTATGGCTATCCTGTTACTGTCATTTGGCCGTCAATTGCCTTGGTGGTAACACGTCTTCCACGACTGTTTGCTGGTTACCGGTGACACTTTCTCGTTGAATAGGGCTGGAGTTACTTTGGGACTGGAATAGTGTTCTTTCCGGTCCGTTAACTCAATAATTCTAGTACAGTCTGTCGTAACCTCAAATCGTAAACACATCAACCTTTCGTTGACAGATAGCGAAAATTACTAGCCTCGCGCTATCTTTGTTTAACACATAGGTTAGGTTCCTCTCTGTCGAATTCCGACCACAGGCAGTTTGCCGTACTTTCTAAAAGTAATAGTAGATCTAGTGACTTTAGTTGGGCTCGGTAAATATTTCAATTTCCCGCCTGAATACAGCCAGGTGACGTCAGCAAACCTGCGTATGTTCATACCATATTTACTTGTATCATGGGTTAGATATGTCATTAAAAAAAAGTATGAAAAGCAACGGACCAAGATTGGACCCTTGAGATACACCGCTTTTGCAATACTCAACAAACTGATTCATAATCATTGATTTCAATAATTGAAGTAAACTATTAAGTACACAGACCAAAATTACCAAGTTTTTTGAGTAATATACACTGGTTTACTTTGTCGAATGCTTTTGTAAGGTCAGTGTATATTACGTCTACTTGCTTTCTATCATCGAAGACCTGAGAAGCAAATTGCGTAAATTCAACTAGGTTGGTAACAGTTGATTTTCCTCTAATGAAACCATGTTGATCATGACTTATTTGGCTACTTACATGAAAGTTAATAGTGTTAGAAAATTTAATTTTTGCAAAATTACATAGAATTGTTATAGGTCTATAGTTTGCAATCTTGCTTTTATCACAGGATTTGAAAACTGGAACTACTTTTGACACCGACCATACATTAGGATACAATGAATACTTCAAAATTAAGTTAAAAATATATATATATGTACTCATAACAGGTGACAACAAGTTGAGATTAGTAGCAATCATTTTACTGTCAATAGCTATAAGAGCACCTCCTCCTCTGGACAGTCTTCTATCAGATCTAAAAACATTGAATTTTGGTGGAAAAAGTTCAGAGTTAGATACTCCGCTATGTACCCAAGTCTCTGTTAGCAAAATTACTTGAGCATCAGTAGAACAAACATTGACATAGAATTCATTTACTTTGGTGTTTAGACCACGTACATTTTGATGCAATATTTTTAGGGTAGGATGTGATGGGCTATTATTAATCGCCTGTTGGAATATTACGCATTTTTTGTTACTATTTTCGGAATTCCATTAATATATTTCAAAACGATATTTTTCTCCCCATTATCAGTTCTTCTTTTGAATTCTTTGCGTATTGCATAGGCATAGTTTTGTTCCATCTTTGTCAAATCGTGATTGATATACAGACCATTTTGTGATTTGTATTTAATTAGAATCTCTCTTACTATCACCGGAGAAGATAGTGTAACCTTAAGTAATCTAGGTTTCTCAGTATTTTTACCAATTCTTACCGACTTTATGATGTCAATTTGCTGTACTCCTGTCTGTGTTAAGATATTATTGATCATAAGATAAGATAAGATCATCTTGCATAGTCGCCTCTGCTGTCTCTTTCCTCCATATTGGCAAATTTTGTTCAATGGAATATTCTCATTCTTACAAAGACAGCAAATATTCTATTTGAAAATTATCGCATGGAAGAGCGTAATTAATAGTTGCTAGCAGCTCCTTTAACTTAAGCCTACATTTGAACCTAAAGCCAGTGTCTGAAAACGTTCACAGAAGACGTTATCCTGTTTTTAATATACTTGTAAAATTCTAATGACAGGATTGTTAATCCTTCAAATAGATTTGGTCGATTGAAATGCCATGCAACATGGAAAACCTGTTCAGTCATTTCATTCGCTTCATACTGAGTATTCCCATATTCAACACACCTGGAACAAGAATGACGTGATAAACATTTCTAAAATAAATACCCACATATGTAGTAGAGGATATTCTACATTTGTGTGTTCTGCAGTTTCTACAGTTAAAGGAGTAAAAACGTTTTTCTCTGGAAACAAATAGGTATGTCAGGATCACGAAGCAATGCGTACACGTCACGGACTCTGTATGACGTCATGCATCTACCACGTTTATCATACAAATGAATCGGTTTGAAAACTGTCAACAAACATGTCGGCTTGTTATTGTTTTGGTTTGTTCTATTTATGCTTATAGCATGAGAAGACCGTTAGTGTGAAGCAACAGTTAAGAAATAAGCTACACTTGCAGTGTTTCAGCACACAAGGGCATGCTGCAGGCTGCATAGATGCTATGAATTACAAACTCAGGCGAAGGAAAGATCATGACTGTAACCCCTTTCACGTGTTCCTAGTCACTGAAGCGTGCCACTCACGTTCCAACGCCGCGGTACAATTGTGTAGTATAGGATGAAATTGAAGTGTTTTTGAACGTCTGTGTATGCGACAAGCAAATCGGTTGGATGTGGACGGTTGGTGAACAAGTCTGTCTGCAGCAGTACAATCGTGTTGTATTGGATGGAAATTTGATCGTGTGGACAGTGTACGTTATACAAACCGTGAAAGCAGGTATAAAAATCCATTTTCTTTGGACATGTTGCCACCACGATGGCAAATTTTTAACTGCAAGGTCGTAACGTGTGTGTACTGCTGCTTATCAGCAGAATTGTACAGCAGTTGTATCCAATACAATTGTACCCCGGCCTTGGAACGTGAATGACTGGCTTTAAGAACGTTCACTGACTGCTGGTAAAAATTGACAATTGGGTGTGAAACACATACTTGGAGGGTGGTACAAGGCTTCATACTGTACTTAAAGCTACCAACGAGAATGTCAACATACGTCTCAAACAGACAGCATTGAACAGTTGTGACAGGCTTCAAGTTAGAGAAATACGCTTATCGTCTTCAATGCCACAATGGCCACGTCACATCTACAGAATAAGTTACTTTATTGACATGGAATAGATACAAAAGTAAACTATAAATAATAATAACTATTCATGTTGCACAACGTCTTCGTCTGACCAGTGATCTGTATATTTGGCCTGTGAAGTGATAGTGTGATTATAAAAGACACCAGCAGAACATGCCGCTAGTACAATCAATTAGGATGGTAATGGCAAATAACCTACATGTTACAGTGGCTGAATGCCCTCTGCAGTATTAGAATCTTCACTGTCATAATCACTAAAACTATAATCTGAATCTTCGTTAATGTCGATTATAAACTCTCTAAAATCTCTTCATGGTCAAATAATAATTCCCGTTCCCACCACTCCCGTATTATTTTATTCATATGGTCAACAGTATTTTTCCACATTGTGGGCGTGACATGTGCTAACGCTTCTTTCCACATTTCCACGGAATTTTGTTTGACCATAACTATCACACCCAATGTGTTTGGAATAGTAATTTGTAGTAATTCCCCAAATATTTTCTATAGGGTTAAACACACAATGATACGGCGGCAATCGCAATACTCTATGGCAATTCTGTTGGCCCAATTCACGGCAACATACGTTTTTGGAGGTTTATTTCTGAAAAACATGATATTTTAAATGAAACGATAGAGAATAGTATATGCATTACCGTGCAACCAAATGAAGAAGTTCCGTTTTTAACAGCTGTGAATCTGAACTTATGTCATGTTGTTAAAGCCATTCACGAATTTCTGCTTTTTTCCATGAACCACTGGGACATTTGTTTGCAAGGGTACTGTGGTAGCTTGCATTGTCTATAATAATCAGTGATGGTTCTTCAAGATTCATGAGCAATTGAAACCACTTGAGAAAATTCTGTTGATTCATTTCGCCATGATAGTCTGGATTTTTGGTATTATAAGAAAATACTAGCGCTGCTTCATCAATAAATCCATTGGTTGTACCTGCATGTAATACAATATACCTAAAATATAGTGAGAAGAATAAATAACTTACGTGAAACTGACACATTACTAAATTTTCCCTTCTATTTTGAACATCCTGATACTTTTGACACTATCGTCTTGCAATGACCTAACTACCAAACCATTTTCAAATATCCATGTTTCATCAAGATATACACATGGCAAAGGATTTGGGTTCTGCTGATTGTGCATGTATTCACGTAAGAATTTGGTTCTTGCATGAACAACATGTTGTAATTCCATAAGACGCTTCCGTACACTGGTTGGCGAATAACAAAACCCAATAGAGAATGTCAAATTTTTCCTAACGAACTCACAGAACCCTCAAATATATGTTTCTCCTTCAAGCAATCAATTAATGGCGATCGTGTAACATGTATTTCTGTAAAATAATCGTTAGTATCTATAAGGCGTGTGCATCAAATTCATACTTTTTTCGAGCATTCCATATAAGCATTCTCGAATAGCACACTGCTCCGAAGTGCTAATATCACACACTTGCTTTGTTCGGGGGTCTCTATTTCTTGGGAGAATGTACACCTTCTCCGGTTTTTATTTGTTGTACCACGGAGTTCACTGTTCGCACACATACACCCAGAGTAGCAGCAACCCTCTGTACAATGTGACTGCATTAGTAATTGTAATAAAATACACCTACTTACGTCCTGAACAGCTGTTATTGGTAAAAGAGGTCCCCCGCTATCGCGTTCTTTAGCAAAATAGTCCACTAAATTAGCGACCATTTGCTTTGCATCTTTGTGCAAGGGCTTCGGCATGGTGGAATGTTTACGTTCAAGCAAGCGACACGTACCACGGTATACGACAGTTAACTTGGAGTTCTAAAAAGAACTGTTATAGTTCTGAAAAGAACTGATACGATTACACGAGTAGAAAAGTAGAAAAACGCGAAAAATCAAACAATAACACAACATAACCAAAGTTGACACCAATGACACTTGTGAAATCGATAAAACTTTAGCATATGTTTCGCTATCAGTCGTACCAATATAATTTCCCCCAAATTGATCGATATTGAACCGTATTGTCACGTATTGCGGCGCGTATTTTTGATTTAGTGTTGGTAACGGATCTACAGCATCAATGACGTCTATGCATTGCTTCGTGATCCTGAGTATATAGAAAAAACGTTGTTGTTCGTTAACCATCAAGGCTGCAACACCTCGTGGTGGCCTTTTTTGTCGTCGTTGTTATTTTGGTGGTGCAAAGGGCCCCCACACCTCCTAGTCGTAGAATCAAGTGAATTGTAGTGGAAGATCCGTGCAATTAGGGTAAGTCCATTGGCCATTTTCCCCATTTTGTTGTTTGTATATATATATGACTTGCGTCGTAAACATATGGTCTTTCAAACTGGATTGTTTAATTAGCTCATGGTTTACAGTATTTTGTTTCGTGATACACTGCAAAAGCTGTTCATATATTTCGCGTGCACGCTTTTGCGTCTATTTCTTTGTTCAGTAGAATAGGGCTTGATTATAAAGCAAATTCTTGAGGCGCATGCATCGTAAACCACGCCTTATTTTCGTACAAAAATTGACCTTGACAAGACTGTACAAATTCAACAATTAGGTTATGTGTGGGTGCACTATTGTGAATATTATAAATTATTTGTTGATGACGGTAGTAATGAGTGCTCTAAAACAGAACGGTGCAACAAAACATTGTGTTTTTGCAAACTACCGAGGTGGGATTTTGTTTCTACCGATACGATACGAAGCGATAAATGACAAGGACGAAAATGTAAATTTCATATGCGAAAGAAAAAGACGACCATATTTTATCGGTACCGATATTTTATCGTTATAAAAACAAAATCCCACTCCCGGAGTAATAGCAGTATCGCAAAGTACAAAATTAACCAAAATATCCAGTTTCATCGGTTTCCGAAGACATGTTAACATTTCAGAAACAGAAAATGAGTAATCTAGTGTCTAACAGAGACTTTAATAGTGAAGACATCTTAAAGTGTGAAGAAAAGATTTTATTAAAAGTTGTAAACGAAGCGATAGAAAAAGTTTAAACGTAAACACGACCGGCGAATGGCGAAATTGCTGCATTTTTCAAGGTCAAAATTTATACGAAACGTTATGAAATCTGCGTACGCGGAGTAGCTTATAATCAAGCCCTATTGGTTTTATTGGTAGGGTTGCTTGACCTTAAACAAGGGTACTAACGGAAGCGAAACACGTGTCGTAAGATTTGCGTTGTGTTGAGACAGATCCGTAAGATTTGTAATAGCGGTAAAACTGAAGGAGGCTAGAGCAATGTAAGCCCTTGCGTATAAGTAATCAGATGGTAGAGACCCACGACGTGGCCTCCTCCGCGTTGCTGCAAACTACGCTCACGGGTTTATTGTCATTTCGGTACCAGCGCGTTGAGGAAGTTGCAGAAGATTTTTGAAAATATAACGCGTCGGTTATTTCTTGCCTGTCTAGTTTAACCGAACCAGATTTTGAAAGCGTTTGATCGGTTATATTGTGAAACCTGAGACGCATATAACGAACTTTTTCTCGCGTCTTCGCCATTGAATACTCCCACTCCTAGTAATCATAGTCAAACAACGAGACAAAATAATATTCGATTACCAAAAATCTCGTTGCGAAACTTCGATGGCGATTTTGTACAATGGTATCCGTTTATTCAAACATTCAATACGGCCATACATAATAAGGAATCCTTACCACCTGTTGACAAATTTCAGTATTTGCTAAGTTGCCTGTCCGGCGAAGTGTTAGACCTGATAAAATCCCTGACATTATCAGAGGATAATTATCCGATAGCATATAAAATTTTAACAGACCGGTACGACGAGAAACCGAAACTGGCTGCTCAATTTTTTCACAAAGCTAACAAAGGAATCTGCAAAGGCACTTCGCTCAGTTGTCGATAGCTTCAAAGAGCATCGCGGGGCACTGGAAGCGTTAAAAATTGCTGACAATTTAGAAGGTTTTCTGTGGTTTAGCATTATACAAGGTGATTGCGAAATACATGCAAAAAAAAATGGGGAATAGCTCACAATATGATTATGTCACTGGGTAAAATTCACGGTCCTAAGTAGTAGCAGTGTCTAGAAAAAAATATTTGAAATTAAATGTAAATTGTTGTACGCGCCGCTGGACTGTTTTGTGACCTACATAATTACTACAATGAATGGAACAGAGCGAGTCCGATTAAGAACCAAAAAAGTGACTTTATCAGGCACTTTTTTAATCGCAACGTGAAAAACACGAAAAGGGCCAGTTAGCATCGAGCGGTCGGTGAAATCGGTTTATGGTGGAGTTTTCCCATGCAGATTGTGTCGATATGGTAATTGGTGTGGACGAACATTTGCATCAGTGGTACAGCAAGTCCGAGATCATGGTACCTTCAACTTCAAACTCACGATCGTGGCCGTGATAGGACAGAAAGAAGAAGTTGGATTTTCACAGCTTGTAGTGCATCCTACATTAAAATAATACGGCCACATTCATACCATGTTGACAAAGTAAAGGGTTTGGAGCCCGCTAATTGTCCACGTTGTGTAACTCACTTTTTGTCCGATCAAACTCCACATGCTCGTCAACAAGTACGATTGAAAGAGACGGTTTTCGATAAATGTGTATCGGTTGGATGAAACAGTTCGTTTGTGGAAATCAACAGTGTCCAGAAATTATCGAAGAGTTTCAACGAGTGAAAGTGGTTTTTACCTATCAACAAAGCTCTTGCGATGGTCTGACGCCTGTATTGCTAGTCAAGGACAACATTTTCAACATTTCTTGTAAAAAGGTAGTAGCATTCTAAGTTGCTCTTATTTCTGTTCCAATAAACAAACTAAAATCGTTGTGACAAGGACCAAACATCCATCAGAATCAAAATTACCAAAAAACTTTCACATTGACCTTTAACGATGAATGAGTAAATGAATGAACGAATGATAAGCAGCAAAAAGTCGGTTTTACTTTTAATTGAAACTGAAAGTGTTTAGGTCGTTTTTATGAGAACGTTTTTCCAACTCTGTTTACAAGGTGGCTCAGTGCCTTCGTATCGAGGGTGGTTCATGGGGGTTTTGCCCCATTCGATTTTTAATTTGTTTTTTCTATATTTCGGCTCTACTAGGGTGGGGGATGCCGTGGTTAAAATATTTGCACTTATTTCGCAGTCACCCTGTATTAGATAAGGTAGACGTGAATACTAGCAAAGCCTTTGAGGCCGAATGTCGGACTCAGAAGATTGATTTTCCAACTCGCGAGGATCTAGAAACCTTTATTGAGTCGCATTGTAAGATGTTAGATTGTTGTCCGGATCCCACAGGAGTTGCTCGCCTGAAATCGTTTAATTTAGGTGGCCCTAAAGGTCACAACAAGGCGTCATTTGTTGTTACGTCGAATCCAGTAAATAAAGATCCACTTTGTACAGAAGCTCACAACGTCATAAAATGCCCAAAATTTATACAAGCATCGCCCTTTGATAGATATTCATTGATAAAACCCACCAGGACTTGTTTTAATTGCCTTAAAGATGAACACGCGGTGAATAAATACCCATCAAAAGGGCGCTGTCGTGATTGTGGTGGGCGACATCATACGTTATTGCATTTTAAATCTCGTAAGACCTTGCATGCGCCTTCGGAACCTGATGTCACGGAGGCAGATACAGACAAAACTCCATCAGAGTCCCTCACTTCTTGCATTGTTGATTCACTTGTCAATCCCTCGAGTTACAAAAAAAAATATCTTGTTAGCGACCATAATGTTGGAAATTCGCGATAGATGGGGAACCTTCCAAACTATGCTCAAAACCAGATCGACAGTGTCGATTTCTGGAGTAGGCCATATTATGACAAATGCGTCACACGTCTACCCAGGTACGACCGCGCAAAATTCGGCAACCGATTCTAGATTTGGAATTACATGTTCTGCCACGTATTTGCAGCAAGCTGCCGGCGTCACCAATAGACCCGTCACAATCTCGGTTTCTCGGGGACTCGATCTCGCGGATCGCAGCTGGTATAAACCGGGTCCCATTGATGTGGTGCTAGGGACAGACATATACTCGGCGATTGTTTGCAACCACGTAGTTGACTATTCCGCAACACCCATCATAGTTAAAACTATCTTCGGGTGGGCCTTGCTGGGTCCGACTCAATCCATGTCGTTACCGTCTACGCAGTCGTTACATATATCGCTGGAGCCTTCGTTGCACCATCTGACGAACAAGCTGAGGCAATCTTTACACAAACTATTTCTTGAGACCCTGTTGGTAGATTTGGCGTCGTACCTAATTTTGTGGATTCTAAAGCTATCGCAGATAGACGACTTCTTGCCCTTGAACGTCGTTTAAGCAAACAAGCCGACATTCGTGCGTTGTATTTGGACTTCATGCGTGAGTACTTGACGTCTAATCATATGTCGTTACTTACCGACGAACCCCAGAGGGTGATTCGTTTTACATCCCTCATCATGGGATAATCAAGCCGGAAGGAAATATGAACAAGATTCGCGTAGTGTTCGATGCCAGTTGCAAGGCGTCTAACAATATTTCCTTGAACGACACAATTCTCACTGACCTACTACGGTTTGGGGTCAGTGAGAATGTGAACCCGTAGGCAGACATTGCCCAATTATTGTTACTTTTTCGAATGATACCGGTGGCCTTTATCTGCGACATTCGTCAGATGTACAGACAAATCTTGATTGCTCCTGAACATCGACGTTTTCAATTAATGCGTTGGACCCAATCCAATCGTACCAGTTAAACACTGTTACGTATGCAGTTGCTTTTGCTCCTTTCTTAGCTATTCGGCCCTTGCTGCACTTGGCAGACTTGGGCCACTCACAGTTTCCTTTGGCTTCCAAGGCGTTGAGAGAAAATCTCTACGTCGACTACTCTTGTATGTTGTTCTGAGTCTCTAGAGGAGGCGACGGAAATAAAGTCACAATGAATTCAGTTATTGTCTTCAGCGTGTTTTGAGCTGAGAA